AGTTCTTTCATAAAAGCTTATGCAGTTTCTTTACCATTACTGCAACATTACTAACAGTTTTCTCAATCGCTTGCTGGCCCAAGTCCTAAATATCACATATTTTGTTTTTGTTGTGTTCCAGATGTTATATATTTCAGAAATAATAGCAGAAACCACAAATTTATTTTTGGTGGCTCAAAAAGAACATTCTTCATTATAAAATGACCTGATGTATCCTTAGTAGTAACTGTCAATCTTCCCCTGCTCAGAAACTTGAAAATTGTTAAAAACTACTTTCTACATAAATTTCACAATTGTTGATTACTTCAATATTTTTAATACTTATATTTTGATTTAATAACAACAGAAAGCTCATGAGATTTTATTAAGTAATACCTAGACCACTTATCTGTTTGGAAATAAATCTCTAGATGTTAACAAACCTAAATGTGAAGTCTTATTTTTAAGATTGGGATCATGCATACTAGTTATCTAGGATAGGAACTTTTTAGTTACACAATCCTACTCACAGTGTCATGGGATTCCACAAACAATGCTGAAACAATTATTTTACCACCTAAAGCCAAAAACTATTTGACTGAACACCAACTAGTGTTCAACACCATAGTAAAGATACATATATACTTGGAGTATGTACCTCCAAATTATTTTCACTGTTAGGGTTGAAGATACTGAACTGGAATATTACAGTGTAACTAAGTCTAAAAATGAAATATTCTGTTAACATCTCAATTTTTTTCTCATCTGGTCTGTTTGGTTTAAATGAACTGGATGCTGAATTTTACTATAGTCCAAGCTTGCAATTTGAGACAAAAATTACTAATAAAATAATTATAACCACTTTTTAAGGGCTTTTTTTTTCTTTTTTTCTTTTTTTCACCAGGAATCCAACTCAAGGCTTTGCACTTGCCTGGTAGGGGATGCACCACCAAGTTACATTTTGGTCAAACTGCTTTTTAAAAATTAAGCAATTTCAGACCAGGAATGGTGGTACCTGTCTCTAAGCACAGCGCTGAGGGTGATGGAGGAGGATCATCATCTGGCCAGCCCAGGCAACACAATGAGCCCAAGGCCTGCCTGAACTACATAGTGAGACCCTGTCTCAGAAAGGGAAAAGAAGAATTCTGAGATCAAAAAAACCCCAAAACAATACACTCCTCTCTCCCAAGATAAGACATGTGAAAAACATTTACAACATTAGAAATAATTTCTGAGATGCAAGGGAAAAATATATTAAAAGATATACCTTCCCTCCCAAGATACGCATTTCAGAAATACTAATAATATTCTAATTTAAAGATTAAGCAAATAGCTAGAATACAATTGTCTGGAAAGAAGGGAGGTATTTACTGCATCTGATGGTCAAACCATGTTCAAGCATGTTAACTTTTTACAGGTAATCAAAAGTAATTGCAATAGAATGTTCACTCCCAACATATAATAAATGGCAAGACTTGACCGGTCCTGAAAGAGCATAAAAAATGTGTGTGGGTGTGAGGGAGCATTAATATTGCAAAAGGAATTTTAAAAAATAAGACTGTAAAAATAAATACAGATAGATTGGTACTACCGGTACTCTACAGAATTCTACTCCAAAGCACTAGCTCAGGGATGGCAAAGCTTTCGAAGACTCAAATCACCCTCTGTGGCACCTGTGCCACAGGTTTGCCATCACTGCAGCAGATCCTGAAGAAAAACTTTTAAACGCCTTACTGATTTGTCCTAATCCCTGTATACTCAAATCAGGAAAAAAACAAAAAGATGTGAAACAAATGCAGGAAGTGAACAGAAAACATCAGCGAAGAAGCAAGCCTGAAAGGTGGGGTTTGCCTTCAAGGCAAACATTGACAGAGACCTGTAGTTGACATCTATAAACAAAAGTACAAGAGGCCAGCACCAAAGCTGAAAGAAACTGTGTCCAGTCAGCCTGCCCACAGAGGGCTAACATGATGCCACAGGGCTTGTACCAACCCAAGCAGCAAATACAATGATCGGAAGAAAAGCATACACAAATGGACGTCCCTTGTCTTTCTGTAGATGAAATTAAGCCACCTACTCAAGGAAATGAGCTGTAAATGGAACACAATAACCACAAATTTAAGCTTATAAAGACTTAAAATATTGAAGCTACCAGAAGTGGAATACAAAATGTGGTTGGGTTTTTGCAACAAGGTCTCACCTTGTAGTGCAGGCTTGCCTTGAGCTCACTGTGTAGCTCAGGCTGGCTTCAAGCTCACCGATTCTCCTGCCTCACCCACCTCCCAAGAGCTAGAAGTACACGTGTCACCACACCTGACATATTTTCTTTTTTTTTATTTAAAAAGGGATTTACATGAAATTATAGTGACGGCAAAGATTAAATTAGAATCAAATGAAAAATATAAAAACCATCACAAGTATGTCAAAGAGCAAGTCAGATGTGGCTAAAACACAAATTGGTAAATAGGATGACAGCTGATGAAATTACTCAAAATGGGGCAAAAAGAAACAAGAGGATGAAAAGTATAAGAAATTAGAAGAAACAAAGTCTAGAATAAGAAAGTCTACCATATATGCAATTAAAGTCCTACAACAGAGGAAAAGCAAGTTGTTTGGTTTTTTTTAAGAACTAGTGGCAGAGAATCATATAGAACATGAACTGAAAGACCCAGGAAGTCAGCATGTAACAAATAAAAGAAATTCACATTTCCAAACATGAGTAAACTGAAGCACACCAAAGGAAAAAAAAATCATAAAGGCAGACAGGAAAAAAAGATGATCCCAAACATTTCTCAGGCAAACACTATAGGCAGAACTGTGATGTAACCCCTTGCATGCTTGAGAAATTCCACTTTTAGCTCTTTTAGTTCTCCTTGTAAAGTGGCCCAAACTATTTATTTTCCCTGAAAACCATTCTGGCTAAGTTCCTGAAATCATCACAAGCTCTAACAATTTTTTTAAAGGTACTATTTTTAGAAAAAGTTAAAATACTCCTTTTACGAGTTCCAATACCCTACCAGAATAATGTATAGAGAAATGTAGTCCTTCAAAGCACTGAATATTTTGATGTTTTTTGGCCCAAGTCAGTTGCTTTTGGTAAGCCCAAACTTTTAAAATATCTTCCTAGTTAAGGAATTTTCTAATTATAAGGAATCTCAACTTAGTGAAGTAGATGAAATTTATTTTTAATCACATTTGTGCACTGTATTCTTTGTTATCTTTATATCTGTACAAATTATAAACTTTGAGACCGTGACAATTCAATGCTGAAGGATACTTTGACATGTTCTACATTCTTTGGCATATAAATTATACCCTGTTTTCAATCTTATATTCAGCTTTGAATATGTCTGGTAGGAGGAAAGTTAACAGTAACAGGAGACAGAATACCCACCAATTTAGTTTATAAGGCATCCTTGACTTCATGTATAAAAGCAGAATTCACAGATGTTACAGAACATCTAAGACCCCTGCCCAAGTTCTGAGGCTCGAACCCAGACCCTTACTTGCACATGGTAGTAAGTAGTCTAAGCCACGTCCCTAAAACCAAACCACAAACTGGCTTGAAGGCAATGGAATGCTTCCGCTATTAATCTTTATAGCCCATCAGCCTGCATTTCTGACATCCATCTCTCCTTCAATATACTTGTTAAGAGTTCCTTCTATTACTACCCCATACAGCACATTCACCTCACCCTCCCTCAGGTCTCCAGTTCACTCATTCAGTATCCTCTGAGCTTGCACATTATATGCTGGGAAGTGCGCACATTGAGTATGAGAAAGTGTTAACCGCAACCTAAGTTTGCACACTAAAATGAGAGAAAAAGGAGGGCTGCAAGGAACGCCAGCATTTTGGCACTAGCCTTCCAAGGTCAATTAAGACTCAGGACATATGAGAACTTTACTGTAATGTTATGTACCTCGATAGTGTCCCAAATTTTCTGATCAAGGAGATTATGGGGCCACAGAGGAAAGTGATCGATGATGTAGAGTGTGCCTAAGGAGAGTCACATGGGGAGAAAACACTCTCTCAGGCTTTCACAGAGAGCACATTGGCCAAGCAAGGGCCATGACTCATCCACACGGCTGACACAGACAAAGGTTCTACAATCTGAGGTACAGTATCTCAGGATAAATCCTGAGGGGATTTCACTGATCTTATCAGACCCAAAAGCTACAACTCTTGTTGCATAGGTCCTGCTTTACCTTGGTCTTAACCACCCAGCAGAAAAGTATAAAAACGATATATAAGAAGTAAAGCATGCTGTTATATTGAGCTGTAGGGGACTCAGGTCAACAATTTCTGACATTGCCACCCAAGCAGAAGACCCAATACTATTACGGGCTATTGGACTCTTTTAGAATATTTTGCTGAGTTTACATACCTAGAATATTCAAATAACGTAACAAAAAAGGGGATACAGATGAAATGTCCATTTTGTATCTGTGTATTCAAAGTGGTTAGGATAGATATATAGTTACATTCTCTTTAGAGGGATTTGTTCGGTGTTTATAAATAGGATATCACGTCCCCATCTTGTACAGCAATTAACTAGGAAGAATGTACGCAATGTGTTAATTATTGAAACTGTCCTACGAATTTGATTTGAAACTGTCTCATTGCTATTTATCTCTCAATAAAATTATGGAAAAAAAAAAGTGTTAACCGATGATAAACTGCTGTGCTATTTTAAGTCAACTGAGGGATATGTGGTATTTAGCCAAGGAAATTTATATCTCAATACATTCACTAACAATATGATTTTCTATGTGTTTATTTCATAATAGGCTGAATTTGAGATAGTCTATACTTTCAAGAACTTCATTCTCTATGACAAAATGTGATTAGCCTATATTTTAATATACAGGCATATACATCTTTTCCCCAATTTATGGACAATGTAGTAGTGTTGACAAAAATATTCTTTTTATTGAAAAGCAATAAAAATAGCCAACTTTCAGGAGGCTGAGACAAGAGGATCTTGAGTTCAAGGTCAGCCTGGACTGTATAGGGAGGGAGACTGGGGGGAGGACCTGTAAAATCAGAGAAAGATGATACTTTACATTACTGCTTCTCTCTCTTATGCTCTGCACTGGAATTTACTTCTTGGAGCCATCTGGCTTCATGTCACATTGGATTTCTGTATTATTGAATATTAGTGTTTAATTTAGAAGAGTTTAATCTGAGATCAGTGACACTTTCCTGGCTTTTAGACATTCTTCTGAACATGCTTATGTATGTACAATATGGCAGTCTCAGCCAGTTGTCTTCCACTCAGCCAGCAGTTCTTTTTGTACCTCTTCTGGTAGTTCATAGAAAACTTGAGGATCGATGTCAGGTGGGAAACTAGTTTTCTCCTCAGCAGAATCCTGTTCTCTACTTTCTGTGAGTCCTTGATGAGGGGCTGTTGGTATTTCTTTATGGCTATCTGTAGGGGGGGTTTTGGAGAAAAGTTGCTCACTCTGAAAATGAGAAAATGAATGAAAAGCAGAGTTTGCACTGGAAAAATAGAGCCCTTGAGATTCTTTAGGTCCCTGACTCTTTCTTAATCCATTATCTATATAATGTGAGTAAGCTGTTGGGCTAGCCAGGTAAGAACTACTGCTATTTGACCCTGATGTTCCTGCTTCACAGGGTGACACAGAAGACACCTGTTTACAATTAGATGAATTATCTCTAGGATTTAAGGGATTACCCTGACTTTGTTTTGTAAAGAAAGATAATATTCCTCGGGAAGCACGCAGTGGACCACTCAACTTTTCATTCACTTGACATTTCCCTTTAGATTTTTCAGAAAGGATTTCTTCTTGAATATCTGCTGGAAGCTGCTTAAAGACTTCTTTGTCAACATCCTCTGGAAGTGAGTAGTGTAGGACTTCATTAATATTTTTTTCTCTTGAAAACTTCAGACTATCTCGTGAAGATACCCCTGTTCTTATACTTTCAATTCTTCCAACTGTTAGAACATCACAGTGTGCGTCTTTGACTTTGGAAAAGTCTTCCATGTCTTTCATTTCCTAGAAAACAAAGATAACAGAAACATTCAGATATCTGATATCTTTAAACTATCCCTACTGCTGAAATGAGGCTGCAGCTGTTACCTGACAAATACTTCAAAACTGCTCAGTACCTGCAGTCCTTTGTGGACAGTTCCAAACACCTGGAGATGTCCTATCAGCTACTCATACTATTGTATAGATCTATACTCACTATTCTGGGAAGAGTGGATACACTCAGAGACCTGGACAGGATCTCAAAAACGACCTCTTTAAACGTCCGTTTCAGGGGCCTGCCCTGTAGCTCAGTTCTTTAAGTGGCTGCTTCAACAAAGCAGTCAGGCTCAGGTTGCTGTGGTTCGATCCCCACAACTCAAGCCAGCCAAACCTGCCCTGAAGGCATTTGGAGCAAAAAAAAAATCCTTAAAACGTCCATTTCTGTAAATAAAAGAAGTGACCTAGCAAAAAAACAAGTGATTCACCTAAAGGTTTTTTTTATAAATATATGCATAGAACAAGAAAGACTGATTTTCCAAAAATTACTGTTCTGATGGTATGCTTAATAGAAAGGAAAAGAATATCTCTATAAATCCAATGTTATTTTTTTCCATAATTTTATTGAGAAACAAATAGCAATGAGACAGTTTCAATAATTAACACATTGCATACATTCTTCCTAGTGGTTAATTGCTGTACAAGATGCGGGCATGATATCCTATTTACAAGCACCATTAGAACAAATCCCTCTATTCATTAGGAGAATGTAACTATGTATCTATCCTAACCACTTTGAATACATAGATCAAAATGGACATTCATCTGTATCCTTTTTTTTTGTTAAGTTCCGTTATTTGAATATTATAGGTATATTAACTTAGCAAAATATTCTAAAAGAGTCCAGTAGTCTATAATAGTATTGGGTCTTCCGCTTTACTGGCAATGTCAGAAATTGTTGACCTGAGTCCCCTACAGCTCAACATAACAGCATGGCTTTATTTCTTATACTTCGTTTTTATACTTTTCTGCTGGATGGTTAAGACCAAGATAAAGCAGGACCTATACAACAAGAGTTGTAGTTTTTGGGTCTGATAAGGTCAGCGAAATCTCCTCAGGATTATAAATCCAATGTTATTTTTAAGATATAACATTTTTATATGAAATAAAAATTTTAAAACTTTTAATTCTAATTTATATAATTTTTTACTTTAATTTCCTTTCCAGGTTTTTTTTCTTCTTTCTTTTTTCTGGTTTTATTTTTTACTAATACATGTTTACATCACAAAATGATTACATTCCTTATAGGGAACTGGTACATGTACACAGCACATCTTAATTCCTTTTCCATCCCCTTTCCTCCCTCCCTTCCTTCCTTCCTCCCTTCCTTCCTTCTTTCCTTCCTTCCCTCCCTCCCTCCCCTTTCCTCCCTCCCTTCATCCGTCTCTTTTTTTTTTTTTTTTTTTTTTTTTGCAGTACCAGGGATCCTCATCTCTTTTTGTTTATTTCTGAGCCAATGTCTTAGCTTTGCAGTGCAGGCTGGCCTCACACTCACAGAGATCCACCTGGCTCAGTCTCCAAGTGCCTTACAGACCCTGCGCCACCACATTCTCTTCACATCTGAACAAAATCTACCTCCCTACTTCCTATTATCTTTTGGTTTGTTCTTTTTTATATTTTGGGTTTCTCATGAAAAACCATATGGTATGTAAGCTTGTGCATCTGATTTATTTCACTTAACATTGTGGTCTCAAAATTCATCCATTTTCCTGCTGAGATTCAAAGTTATCTTTCTTTATGGTTCAGTAGTACTCCCCTATGTAAAAATACATTATCCATTCAGCTGTTGGACATAGTACTATCCAAATGGACATCCCAGAAAATATAGTTTAGTAAATATTAATACAGTAGGAATTCCAACAATATAAAAGGAGCACAAAAGACACCAGCCATTTATTGAATTCTGTTTCAGATACAGAAAGTACTTTCACTTATATTTAATGCCACTGTATTTTCACCTCTAATGCCAATGTTAACTATAATCTTTGCTGCTTTTTTTTTTTTTTTTTTTTTTTTGTGACAGGAACTCACTATTTAGTACAGGCTGGCCTGGAATTCATTTATGTACCCAAAGCTGGCCTCAAAACCATGTTGATCCTCTTGCCTCTGCCTCTCAAGTGCTGATTACAGGCATGCACCACCACACCCAGCTTTAATTCTCTTTATACAGATTAAATAAAATACTTTTAACTTTCATTTAATACAAAAGGTCACAGAACAAAAGTAATTTGAAGTTAGCATTAATTCACGTTTATAACACTATTCTGTTTTCATTATAAATGTAAATGGAAATAAAAATACTATTAAAATTATACTGACTGATTAAAATATTTAAATTGTAAGTTAATTACAAGAATTACTAGCTTGTATAAAAATATTATTTATCTATCTATTTTTTGCTGTACTAGGGAACCCAGGGGGTTGCTCTCAGCTACCTCCCAAGCCCCTTTTTTATTTGGAGGTAAGGTCTTGCCTAATTGCTCAGGCCAGACGTGAACTTGTGATCATCCAGCCTCAGCTTTCCAAGTAGCTTAGATTATAGGTATAGGATACTAAAAGAGGAAAAAGACATTATTTTTATAGTACCCCACATTTGCTAAAATAGAGGTGTACCCTATATAGGTAGGTGCTTCAGTCATTTGAAAATGTAACTGGCTTCTGCCTCTCTACTACCACAGTTTCAACTATAAAATCAGCAAGTGCTATCAATACGGCTATAGAATTCAGTATAATTTTAAAATTTTAAATATCTTAATAAAAAATTATGGGAAAGGAGCCAGTAGCTTATGTATAAACTGACAGACAGAGCAGGTAGATAGCTCAGCAGTTTAAGCACCTGCCTAGCAAGTGCAAGGACCTGGGTTCAATCCCCTGGATTGCATGCCATGCCAGCCCCATGCTGAGCCAGCCACTGAAACCAGGTATGGTGGCCCATGCCTGGAATCCCAGTGCTGGGGAGGCTGAGACAGGAGGATCACTACAGGTCTGAGCAGTGTAACAAGACCCCATACCAAATCTTAAAAAGAAAGAAAAAGAAGATTAAAAAATAAAAACATAAACTGGTAGACAAAATTTATTTCTAATTTCTGGAACACTAGCATATTTATGAGATAACCCATCATCTTCCTATAAATAGGGTAATAAGTTAACACTTCCAAAATAGGGAAGGGTACATACTGGTTTTCTCTGCTGTGATCCTTGTCTTCTTAGATTGCTAGCATGTTTCCCTGAAAATAGTACTAACTGGTAAATAAGTCTAAGCATGATTTTTCAGGATGCTTGTAATATTAACTGTACCCCAAAAATAAGCCCCGTCAGCCAGATGTAAGCATTTAAAACATCCACTACAACACATGGACATACTTAATTATAAAATAACAATATATAAGCATTCACAAATATTATTAATACTTAAATGATAATACAAATTATAATTACATATTTGTAAATATCCAGCCAGGTGCCTTTGGACAACAGGTAAAGCCTATATAAAGTGATAAACACAAGACTTAATTGCTGAATGACTGGAGTACAGACATACTGCACAAATAATATGTGTACGTCATAAAAAAATGTACATGGGTCGGGGGATATAGCTCAGCAGCATAAGCACCTGTCTGGCAAGTGTAAGGTCCTGAGTTCAATCCCCAGTATGAGGGAAAAAAAAGGATGTGCTTGTGTCTAATATGAACTGTTACAATGTAATCTGTCATTTATTGTAATGTATATGCTTAATGCACTCATGTGAAATAACAAAATGTTTTCTGAATTTTGGTGCGTACAATTTTTCATTACTTTTGTATGGATCATTTTTGATGGTCTGTTTCCAAGACAAAGTCTTGGAAGGCTGGGCTTGACCTCACTGTGTAGCCCAGGCTGGCCTCAAATCCCTGGCGATCTTGCTTCGGCCTCATGAGTACTGGCTTACAAGCGTGCACTACTATACAAGGCTTGAGCCTTCGTTCCTTACTGTCCATTTTTGTTGCCACTGTTGCCTCACACATCTTCAGTTAATATATGATTTAATGGAAACTGTGAAGCCTAGCCTTCAGGAGGTTGTGATCTGGGTGAAGCACTCATGGGATAAAATTATTGACAGCTATGTTACAAATGTACTACAAGCAGGCTATCTGGACAAGAACTCATTTAAGGAGAACTCCATTGCTGTACATGAGAGATTTGGGCCAATGGCTGTACAGGAGATGGAGAGAGAGAGACAGAGAGACAGAGTGAGAGCGAGAGAGACAGCGAGAGAGCGAGAAACAGAGCGAGAGACAGAGAGCGAGAGACAGAGCAAGAGAGAGCGAGTGAGACAGAGCGAGAGTGAGCGAGAGCAAGAGAATGAGAGACAGAAAGAGACAGATAGCAAGAGAGAGCGAGAGAGAGGCAGAGAGCGAGAGAGGATAATTAAGATTTACAGCTAGTTTTTCTTAGTTCACTGAAAAGAAAGGTTTGTGCTAATGTTTGGACAAGATATCACGCCTACTACAAAGACAACAATATGCAATGTATTAACTATTGAAACTCTACTAACCTGTTTTGAAATAGTTTATTTTTTCCTCTTCAAAAAATTTCAGCAAACTAGACTCAGAAAGAAGCTACCTGAACATAATAAAGGTAATCAGTGAAGGGCCGTGATACAGCTCTGCAGCACAGCACCTGCTTGGCAAGTGCAAGGTCCTAAGTCCAACTGCTGGTGCCAAGAAAAATAACTCACAATCCAAGATTATCAGTGAAAAGCATACAGGCAACATCAGACTTCAGGATAAAAATCTAGGAGCAAAGCCATAATTCAACACAGCAATCTTGTATTAAGTCACTGCCTAATTATTTCACATTTTTATGCTTGTATAAAGACATTGTTTCTTCAATTATAAATTTTGTCTTCCAATTTTAAATAGTATTGTCTTAGTTCCTATATGTAAATAATTTTTTGTATTTTACTTTGCATCTTGTAAAATCACTGAGCTAAAAAAAAAAATTTAGGCTGGCATTCAGGGTTCGGAAAGTTATGGCAACATTTCAGAAGAGGGTAACGTGACTAAACATGTACTGTTTCTAATGCCTCATGAATTATTATACTCTTTAAAATAATTTTTTTAAAAAGACAAGGAAAAAAATTAAAATTTCTTGAAAGCAAATGTTAATATTCAATTATTTGTCTAATCTTGCATAACTGTATCTGTTAGTCCGAGTGACAGATTTGATGTTAAAAATAGCTAATGTAGGGCCAGTCAGATAGCTCAGTGGACTAAAGTGCCTGCTTAGGCAAAGGGCAGGGGCCAGGGTTCGATCCCTGACACCAGCCGTGCTGACACCAACCCCACCCCCAGCCTGTGCCGACTTGAGACTGGGAGTGGTGGTACAAGCATGTAATCCTAGTACTTGGAAGGCTGAAAACAAGAGGATCAATATGAGTCCAATCTGTGTAGTAAGACCCTGTACTAAATAGGTAATAAAATAAAAAACAAAAAAATAGATAATGTAACAATCACTGGTAATTAGCTATTCCAGTTTCGAAAATTTGTATTGCATGTTACCCTGTTTCTGACATTTTTTCTATTTGTTTTTGCTTGTTTTTACTCTTCAAATTAAATTTTTTAAAAAACAAAATAAATCAGACCTGCATATGCAAACATTAAAAAAGAAAAAATAAGACATCCCCTGAAAATATACCTTATTGTACTTTATGAAGCAAAAATTAATATAAGATCCAGTCTTACTTTTGTGAAAACATGGTAAATATTTAAGAACAGCAACTGTGATAAGTGCTAGGAAACAAGTAAATCAAACAATAGCACCCCAGAGAACATAAATCCAGTAAGAGTGTACTTACAAAACTGCGCTTGCCAGAGTGCAATGTTGTTGATAATGACGGAGTTAAGTAACAATCCATAGGTCCTTTTTTAACAATATTTAGTGCTTTGAGGTTGCAGAAACACACACTTAGAAGGGTAAGGTGAAACGGCATCTTCACATTTACCATATTTCGAAAAAGTTTCATTAGTACAGTAACCAATGGGGTCATCACATCACAATTTCCTAAATAAAATGTTCAAGAATATTTAAACATATTGTATCAATCAATATTAAGAGCTTAAGATAAATTTGTATTGCTTAAATGAAGAAATTACTACTCAGGACGCTAAAACAAGAGGACTGTAAAATCAAGGCCAGGTTGGGCAACTGAAGTGAGATCCTGTCTCCAAGTAAAAAGAGCTGTGGGAAAAAAAAAAAAAAAAGGAGCTGGGGATGTAGCTCAGCAGTTACATGACCCTAGGTTGGCTACCCAGCCCAAAAATTAGAAGAAATTAAAATCCACTGGCATGGTGACCTATGCTTATAATTCCCACTAATCAGGAGACAGGTGGAAAAATCATCCTGAGTTCAAAGCCAGTGAGAGGTACATAGTTGAGTTCAAGGTCAGCAAGACCCTGTCTCAAATAATTGAAAAAAAAGTAACTAAAATCCAAAATATTACTGGGCATACTGACATTGTCTGCTAAATTTTGAATATATAATTACCACAAACAGGTTTGTTCCCTTTAAAGTTTGCAAACTAAATCTCAGATGAATCTTAGAATCTAGATGCTTCACTGTATGTTTATATTTATTATCCACTTTAAAACCAAAAAAAAATTTTCTAGTGAAAGTTTCTAGTAGAATAAAAATACTTAAATGGGAAATGAAACTCAAGTTGTCGTGTACAGGTACAAATTCTCTATAATAGATGTGATCATTATGTATATCTAAAATGTACCAATAATATCTGATTTAAAAAATGTATGTAGGGGCCGGCCAAATAGCTCAGCAGATTAAAGTGCCTACAAGCAGGCGCAGGGGCCAGGGGTTCAATCCCCAGGCCTGCCATGCTGGTCCCACCCCTGGGGCTCGCTGAGACAGCAATTGAGACTGGACGTGGTGGCACGCACCAGTAATCCCAGCTCTTGGGAGACTGTAAACAGGTGGATCACTATGAGTCTGATCTAGTAGTGAGACCCTGAACACCCTGTAGATGCCTTCCTAAAAAATACTAAAAATAAAAATAAAATAAAAAATATATCTATGTTGACTTTAAAAAAAAAAGTTTGTATCTATGTTGTTTATTTATTATTTCTTGCCTATATCTTGTAATATGAGAAACTACTTTGGTAGTAACAATACACAATGTACTAACCATTGTTACTCTCCTAAAATCTTGTTTTGAGATTTTGTACCATTGTTTTTATCTTTTTTTTCTTTAAAATAAAATAACTGATGTCAAAAAAATAAAAAATTAAAAAAAAAAAATAAAAAAATATATATCTAAAACAAAAACTACAAAAATATTTAACTGTTTGCTTACTCCACAGGAACACTCCATTTTGGAGTATACTTCTAATTCAAAGCTTGCTCTTTACAAATACAGTCTGTCAATTAAATTCTTAGAAAACCAGTCCATACCTGTCCCCAACTTCTGAATTACATGGGCTGGAATAGGACACTGCCGACTCTCTCGGCTATAGTACTTGGATGAAGACCGACGGATTGCTAATCTTACTGTGTGGGGCTTCCTTCCATCTTGGCACACCCTTAAAAAGAGGAAAAACAAGAAATTATAAAAAGTAATAAGGATTTTTAAAATAGTGTAACATTTCACTTATTCAAAGGTATCCAACTGCATAACTATAGCAATTGTACATGCAGTAGATAACTAAATACTAAACAATAAAAGTTCCAAAATATCCAAGTAAATAAATATCTCAAAAGTCCATGCATTAAAGCTCTAAAATTTTAAATGTAAGGCATATAGGCCTCACTCAGAACTGGGTGCTCTCAGAATTAGAAAAGAGGCACAATCATAACAAGCTGTTTTATAATCTAAATCTACAATGTAACTATAAGCAACATATTAAAATCAGCAAGACATCTGGCAGAAGCAAGTAAATCAAAAATTACAAAAGTTTTTATAAATCTGTTTCACAAAATGAGATTATATATAAACAGTTAAGGACTACTGTATTTGCATTTTAAACTGCTAAGAATAAACTTCGAGTGATCTCACTACAAAAAATGGTAAAAAAAAAAAAAAGAGAGACTACAGAATGAAACTATTTACTTTAAAAATGAAATTACCTTTACTAAAATAAAAGGCATTCCCTACAAAGATCTGAGAACCAGTAATATACCCATGAGGTGATGATATATTAGAGCAATTTTATAAAGATCAATTACCTACTACATTTAGGATACATATTATAAACACATCTTAAAAGAATTATATCCAAATGGTCTTGGTTTTTGTGTTAAAACAGAAATTTTAATAATAGGAGAGATTTACTTAAAAAGTACAAAATTTAACTAGTAGAAGTAGAGATATCATTAAAGGTAACATTTTGCTTTTTATCTGCATAGCAATACATGTAAACATCAAGAACACAAATAATGCATATTGTTAAATATACTCAAAATGATTTCTGAATTGAAAAAAAGAGATTGTTACCAAATGTTTTTCCTACTGCTTTATCTGAAAACATGATGGCTATTCAACTAGGATAATAAACTGATACCTATAAACATGTTGCTAGTTAAAGTATCTTCTAAATTTATTTTTTATGTAAGTATATCATTGTTAAAGAGTATAATATGCTAATGAAGACACATTACAAAAAGATTAGCTTCTAAGCAATTTTAAATTAGTATCTAAAAGATGGATTAACAATGACATAGTCTTGGGCTAGGGAGTTGGCTCAGGGCATAAGCACCTGCTTGGCAAGTGCAAGGTCCCTAGTTTAATCCCCAGTACAAAAAAAAAAAAAAAAAGAAGAAGAAGGAACAACAGAACAATTACATGGTCTTATACTTCTTTCATGCCTGTAGAATTCACCATTACATACTGAAGAAAAAAGAAACTAAAGACACACATACATGTAATTTTTTGACTAGTAACTTATAAGCTATTATACTTCAGCCACTGAAGCAGGGTCCATGATGTGGAAAAAAAACTGGCAAGCAGATCTTGGGTAAGTGTTTAACACCTGGCATCTCACACATCTTAGGATCTGCTTTGATTATTCAAATAAGAAAGACCTGTGAAACATACACGTCTTGTGGTTTCTCTGTGTGCAACTGTTAGTGGCCTGGCTGCGAAGGGTGGAGTCCTAGCTGGCCGCAGCTGAGCAGATGACCCAGTTTCGCTTGCATGCTCCCTGCAGAGCCTGAGTCATGCAGCTGGAGCCTCCGCTGCATACAGCCAGCAGTGATGAAAGTTCCAAACATGGCAGCATACTGCATGTGACAATAAGCTGCATGTGACAACTATGTTGTAGGAAACGTCACCTCATCAGTTTCCTGAGACTTAAAAAGTCAACCCAAATCAACTTTCTTACAGAGTCTTGCAAAATTCTAGGTAGCCCTCCTAAAATTTTTACAGAAGCACACCTATTCACACAAGTGTTAAGACTTCTGATACCCCAAGGTAAGAAACTGGTAATAACAAAGAGAATCAAAAAAATGAGAGATGAGATTAGTATTCTCCTATGAAGAAATGAAAAATATTTGCTAAGGGACATCAGAAGACCTAATCTGTACTTCAGCTGGTTATGCTGTTCACACATTCAGAATCATCCCAGTACACTCTTCCTGCCAGCTTAGAAATCAGAGTCCCAGTACACACCTGCAATCAGACATAGCCTCATGTAGCCATTCCTTCCTTTAATGCCCTTCTCTTTAAACAGACTGAAGTAAGGGAGATAAAAAGCTTTTCCCAGTTCCTCCATCATTGGGCTTTAAAACTTCCTGTCCTCAACCATCACCGATTCATGTAACTGTTCCTATAGAAGAAGTTTTAGAATTCTTACAGAATTACTTCTGGGTTTTTTCCCTCTTATTGAAAAGACAATAAATATAAAGTTAAAGGCAAAGGCTTTGCAACTGCCATCAAGAAAAAGTAAAGCCTGCTTCTCACATAGAGTCAAAAATCTAGGAACATTAAGGATGTTCATAAAAACAATTCAGGTTTACTATAGTTTAAGATCCACAGTATATCATGTACTAGACTTAGACTAATGCATTAAATCATTTAAAGTCACATATTACAAGCTGAGATGGTTGCACATTCCTATAATCCCAGCACTCAGGAGGCTGAGGCAGGATGACCATCTTGACTTCAAAGCCAGCCTGGGCTATATTGTGCATTTAAAGCTAGCTCGAACTACATAGCAAGACCCTGTCTCAAATATTAAAAATAAATAAAAGCAAAAAGCAAATATTACTCTTGCAATAGTTTATAATATAAATGAGAAATGTCCTATGATAAATACTCTTATACTCTCCAGTTAACATGTAAAATTCAAGTTAGAACAATGAGTGTTTTTCATTTAGTGCATGTAGAATGGAAGAATCGGCAAAATAGACTAAAAATCACCTATTCAAAAGAATAGCAAGTAGTTCTTCAATCTTCTTTTTAGCTTCGACTTCTGATGAGCAGTTTTTGAATGAGTCTTCTTCACTAAAAGACTACCAAAGAATTATAAACAAGAATTGATGTAAACTCAAATAAATATGTCCAATTAGCAGAGTACATGACAAATGAATACTTCATATATTATGAACTCATTTCTCATGCTTAGTCTGAACCATTTAGTTTGCTTTTATATTAACTCTATCTGCAAGTTATCATCCTCCTCTAGAAAGTGCCCTGGGAGTCAAAATTATAGAGCTCTTGTCGTAATCCCAAACTTCATTATATGACTATAGCCAAGAGTTTAATCCCCTAAAACTCAAGTATGATTTATCTTGGGATAAGTTACTTGCCCTTTCTGAAGTATACTATCCTTATCTTTAAAAGAAAGAAACCAAAAACAACAGTTACTACCTATCTCAGTTTGCTATGAAGATTATGTAGGCTAAATAAAGCACTGAGTGTGTAACAGAGAGAAAAAAAAATTAACTGAGTGATTATACCTTTTCTCTCAAATCACGGAACGACTCAGAATACAAGATTTTTAAAAGATTAAAATATTTTGTCACAAACTGGGTGTATTGACACACACCTGCAACTCAGCACTGGGGAGGCCGAGACAGGAGGATCACTATGAGTCCAAGCTGCGGAGCAAGACTCTCTGGCAAATAAATAAATAAAAGATCTTAAAAATTTTTAAAGGGGCTGGTGAGATGGCTCACTGGTCTAAAGCACCTACTTAGAACAAGCTTAGCAAAGCACATGGACCGCGGTTCGATTCCCCAGCACCACATGCCAGCCAGCCCCGCCCCCTGGTGGGCTGAGCTGGCCACACATACAATAAATAAATGTAAACTAAATAAAATTAAACAAAACAAAAAAAAATTTTTTTAAATATTGTTTTGCCACATATTTGCATTATAAGCTAATAAAACTAAGTTGTACTCAAAATGGCTAACATTAGATTTAAAAATATTTATATCAAAGTTTCAATTTAAGAATATTTAATAATCTAGTATAATAAATTAGCCTTCTCATAGGAAAGGGATCATTTACTAACTGAAAAGCAAACTAGACTAGTAAAAACATGATAATAATAAACTAGAGAAGCCAACTAGCCTGATGCAAACACTAAAAATCTTCAAGTAATGGGACAACCAGTACTTAATCAAGATAACAGCATGGCCTTATTACCTGAGGTGGTCCTGAGGGTATCACAGAAGAATTATCCTCTCCAAAACTGAGCTTCTGTATATGCTGAGCAACTGAAATTCCTAATTTGTTTTCTAATATTTTGGATGAAAACGTTTGTAGATCGGGCACACTACGGATTCCCAGTGCTTCAAGACATCTGGCTGTTTTATAGCCAATACCTAATCAAGATGTATAAAATGTTACAGTCCCTTTACTCCTTAAAGTAAAGCCAATTAAAATATGAAAAACATATGAACCATATCTTTTAATATGTGGATGTGTTTAGAGACAAAAAAAAAAACCCTGCAAGACAATAAGAGGGTAACAATGGCTAAAACACTGCATATTGTTATCTTTATTTACTCAAGAGTACAAGATATCAGTATTCAATTGTCCAAATAGTAGCACAATCTTTTCTTTTCAATGAACAGAAAGTCACTGGTGTGACTGAGTATAGATGTATATATTGTATACACACATATATATATAATTATGTGTATATATA